TTTCACCCCCTCTTTCCCCCCCACTTTTGGAGGTTTGTCAGCCTCCCATTGGGTGCTATGTTTGCTTGGACCATGGCATTCACTTGTTAAGGGATGTCAAGAATAGCACAAGTACTTATTTCTTCAGTCCTAGGCTACATGCTAATAACGGGACAGTATTGCTTTACCTGCCATTTTGAAATGGCATTGCCATCTTCTCTTCCCATTCTGGGTTTGCTTTGAGATGTGAAGACATTTTCCCTCTTCTGTAAACCCTCTGGCTGGGTGGGCCAGCTAGGATGCTGGGTGGGGCAGCCACAAAGTAGGTTGTAATTGCACAGGCACCTCTTCAGACTTTCTAGATGCTGGAGATCTACCTACAGCTGAATGCAAAAGCTATAGAAGGCTTTAGTTTGGAAAGGCAAGGAGTAAACTATGAAGAGATGTAGCATGCTTGTTTAGCAGTTATTGCAGAACTGGAAGTGAAAAACAAGCTATACAGGTGGCCCCAGGAAGGCTGCTTTCTTTTGCAATGTGCGGCAGAGTATACTATTATTTTTGCTTTGAATCCTGTTTCATGACACTGACAAATCCCACATGAAATGCACTGCAAATGAGGTAGAATCCTGAAGCCCGTTTTGTCAATCAACTTCACAAAACCAACTTTGTTAGGGAAAAACTGAGATCATAAAACCTAGAGCACAATGTATTGTTGTCTATTGCTTTTCCTCTTTCTGTACCTGCCATTACAATAAACACGTCTGCCACACAGTGAGTTTGACTTTTTAGCACTCCTGTGGTATTGACATCTTGATGATTGAGTCTGAGGTGATCTGTGGCAGGCAGAAAGAGACAGAGAGAGCACTTCCAAGAGGGGGACTGGAAGGCTGCAGGGATGGCTTATGGCTGTGGGATTTGATACTGCAGAAAAATAAAAGCAGCACTGCTGTAAGTCTCTAGCATAGACAGTCACCATTTAATTGGGGAGGGGAGAGATTAAAAGCTGGACAGACAGAGGCTTCAAGCTTTGCTCAACCAAGTGCCACACAGCTTAAACTTGGAAAAAAAAGATGTTTATATTATCTTATGCACTTGTATTGTTACAGCAATTGATGTAATACTTTGTTGGGATGGCTCCTCCTGAAGCAGTTTCATTGAGACTGCTGGTAGAACTTCCCTCTACAAGTCGTATTGTGACCGTGTTCAAGGGTTCTTGTATAAGTTCTAAACTTACTGCATTGTACAGTCCTTGGCTGCCAAGACAAAACAATCTCCTGATTGGATACTGTGATACACATGGGAGGTCACAGGAACTACCTGTGGGATCTTGAATACTTTATCAGTAGTCCAGTGTGATGGCAGCACCGAGAACAATACAACTCTGTTCCTCATACCGTGGGCAAATAGTGTGAACGTTATTTGTTTTTGTCTTTGCTCCTTGTTTGTGGGCATGTCTCACTCTTTTCTTTGGCTCAGCACTGTGACAAGCCCCAGGTACGTCCCTTTCTTGTTGATAACTCTTTTCCAAATGGAACTGGATGTGCAGCTACTCAGAGGGGAGTCCAGTCCAGAGTTTTGCAGAGGTCTGTGAAGAAGCTGAGTCAGTCATGGGTGCTTTAATGGTATATGAACTCACCTGTGCCTGGTTGCAAGATGCAGTTTGCATGGCTACGTGCTGGCATTTAAACAGGGATATGGCATTTGGGCAAGATGACCCACAGCAAGGAAGGGCACACAGCTACATCAAGCCATAATGCAGAACAATGCTGCAGGACAAGAGTGGGAAGACTGCCACAAAGTAGTTGGGAATGTGTCCACATGAACCTCAAAGCAAAGACATTCACTGCCAAGCAGAGCTACTCCTGTCCCAAGGAGGATTACTTATTGCAGACTAAGACACCAAACAATTCGCTTTAATGAAAGATTGTGTGTGAATGTACAGTACCGTAGGACAAACTATAGCTACTCCAATGTAACTTCTGTGACCCTAGAGTATATTTCTGTTGCTTCTCCATCAGTGGTCTGTGACCCAACAGTACAATATAATCAACATTAAGTAAGATCATAAAGTGTTCAGTTTCTGCAATACTTTGACATAATGGAGTATATTAAATAGTCTTTAATACTTGATGCTTGAGTTGGACTTTCTTGGCACCTAATTTAGTGGCTGCTAAGTATGGGAATTTCACAGTGGAACAAAGGACTGATAGCAGCAGTTGATGCTGCCCCAGTACACAAACTTAATATTAACTCAGAACTTCAATATGTAAGTCATCAGGCTCTCCATGAGATGGGGGGCCATCACTTTCCCCCCTTGTGTCAGCCTTCTAGTTCAAAGAGCAAATTAAACAGATAAACCTTTTATGAACACCTTATCATTTTAAGTTAGTTTTTGCATCAACCCACAAACTTAAAAGAACATCTATTCAACCACAAACTTAGCAATCCCTTTTAATAGGAAAGGGAGACCTTAACTTGGCAATCAACTTTGGAATATGTGATTGTGGATGCTGATTGCCCCAAAGCCATGTTCTCATTGGATTGCTAGGCCTTTTAACATAGGTGAAGTCAGGAAGAAGGTAATAAAGACATTCTATGTTTTGTTTTCCTCTTTATTTCTTTAAGGAAATACTCAAGTTGAGCTATACTGCCAAAGCTGTTAGGCCTATCTTTCCCACCTAACACTATCAAACTTTTCTCTCTGCTTCCTGTATTTGCCAGACATTTGATTTTATTGCAAATAACATTTAAGCCCCACTGTTTCTCTAATACACGTTAATGAGACGGCACCACAGTCACTTTTTAGTAGCTAAGAAATTTAACTTCGGAGGCCCAGGTGATTAGGAGCGTTTTGGTTGATACAGTCTCAAATTCATGTTTGCAGTAAACATTAAAGCAAGCCAGCTACTTGAAATATGAGTTTGAGAGAGATTTGGATACCCCCATCACTGACATCCAGGTGAGGCATTAAACAACAAAGAAAAGGAGGTGGCATAACAGTAGAGAAACACCGTTTATAAATATTTTCTATATTAGTTCTTAATCTATTATAGAGTCTAGCATCTGCCCTCTTTATCAGAGCATTTTATATGCTCCTGGGTTAGTATGCAGAGTGAGAGGATGTGTCCCATTCCCCCTTAACCAACATATTCACGTGCTTAAAAAAAAAAATCTCAACTACCATTACACTTTAAATTAAACAGCCATATTAAAGTGGCCACAGTGATAGTAAGAGGCAGGTATCTACAATAGGGACCCATTCTTATGCCAACCTACTTTTTAGCTATTTCAATTGATAATACTTGGGTGTGCTTGAGACCAAGGTAAGATCCACTGAAGCAAAGCGACTTCCATGGTCCAGAGTAATGGTTTGTACAATGGCAACCAGACTAATTACTGGTCACCACTAGCTTTAATTGTGGCAAACCCCTTATGTAAGAGCATACTCAGGACCCTGAAAGGTCTGACAAAAGCCCAGAATTACACACACTGTTCTGACTTGTTGCCTCATATCCAGAGTGAAAAAACATGGTTTGCTTGCCTATGTTGTGTCTCTTTAAGGAAACTAATACAGTTATGGAAGTTGGGGGAGGGAGAGACGGGAAAGGATTTTCAAAATGGCACTTCAATCAGTTGTGCCTTTGAAAATATCCCTGATAAATTACTAAAATTTTACAGAATATCAAGAATAATTGCACTGAATTTCAAAAACTCGTGTAAAAAATGGAACTCAGTGGGGTTTTTAAAGCTTTTTTCATTTAACTAATAAACTGTCCATAATTGTTCTTCAACTTTCACTGTGTTTTTTTTTACCTCTCTAGTACTATTCTTGCTAGCCTAGACATGAATTTTACATAAATTCAAAGCTTACTAATTATTCTGGCTTTATCAACCACTTTATTAATGATCATTAAAATAATCTTACTTAGTAAGAGATTGTTGTACAAAACTCCCATCTTTTCCATTTACTTTGACTATTAATGGCCTTCTTAATGTTTATACATTAGTGTAAGTAGTAGTGTTAGCATTATTCTAGTGCAAAATAAAACTAGCTGTATCCATTATAAGTGCATTACTGCCAGGAATTGTAAATATGTTTTTGCCTGATAGCCTTTTGACTCAATAATATCCTGCTATCTCTGTTGGACAGGCAAGTTTTTAAACCAAGAAAAGACAGGTTATGATTTTCATAGCCAAATGATGTTTCTTTTTCAACTATGTTGGCTAAATCCAAATTTAAAGAAGTTAATTTAAAAAAAAAATCTGTGTGGCTCTAAAAAGAGAACAATTGAAAAATCATCTTCAAAATGGTAGTAAGGATGTGCACTTAGAGCACAGCTACTCCTCCCAGATACACACATACGCAGACAAACCCTGCCATATCATACCATACAAACAATTTTAATTGTGTAGTTACAGTCAATAACCACTCCTAGTCAGAACATTTCTGCATAAAGAAAATTGTGATACACTTATAAAAACAGCCAGCTGTAACAAAATAACTGGTGTTTTCATAGCAATAAACTCATAAAAAAGAAATACACCTTTATACAGAAAATTTATACAGCTATAGCTTTAAAATTGATTGTAAACCAAAGGAAGACACATTGCAAACATCAATTATTTTCACATTAATTGCATAAGTTTCTAAGGTGATCTATTAGTTTTATTTACCTAAGCTTATTTGCATGATAGTAAAAATTGCATACAACAATTAGAGTGAAGCTTATAGTATGAATTGCTTGGATAACATAGAGCACTTTTTATAGGCAACTGTGTAAAGCACATTTTCTCTATTTAAAACTTTTAAGACACTTTGTTTTACTGCCCATCAAAATACATTTATAAATAGAAAAAAAAAATCAGTATGATAACAAGAGAAGCAATATTACATTTAACGGAAACTTCCAAAAAAATTAATTACAACATGATGCTGCAGGATCTACAAATAAATAATGAGGACTAAATTGTGTTTCACATTTTCTTTTCATTTTTTTAAAAATCATGTAACAATGAGAATGGAAAAAAAAATACAGTGACCTTTATTTCCAAAAGAAAACAAATCTGAATTACGGCAGTGCCATATAATACAAGGCATTTGTTGGCATATGTTATCTTTAAACTGCATTCCACAGTCTATAGTTCTTTTGTAACATAGAATAGAGCAAGAGTAACAAACTCTTTTTTTTAAATAAACGTGAGTTTCAAAGATCAAGTGTGGAGTGTTACAGTAATCATTTAAAAAAAAAAAATGAAACAATAAATCACAAAAGTTGTAATGCTTGTCTGAAGGCTCCAGAATCAAAATCACTGGTATCATGCTTATTGGGTACACTCACACAGCGTACCAGTGAACACAAATTAATATCAAACAATCCTCAACGCTTCATCTGTAGCTGCAAAGCAGTTTGTAAAACAGAGTAAAACATCTAGTGCAGTCTGCATTATCCTTTTTTCAACTTTTGTGCAAGTTTTGGAAGATTCATTGGCCAAACAATGAATAATAAAAGGTTTTTGACAGAATGCATGATGGAATTTTCATTTCATTAGTAAATACCAGTGGCACTGTTGAATGAAAATAATACTTTTAAAATCAGTCTTTCAACTCAGCATTAAGCTCTGTGTTCCCTTCTACTGATAATTCTTCTTCTAGTTTAACTGAAAAAAGCGTGTTTGCATTTTTGTCTTGGATGCTGTCTTCTAAATCGTTAAGCAGCTCCTCTTCCTTGTATTCTGCAACATCCACCTCTAAACCAGAATTGTCCTTCAGCTTCCCATGGTGCTTGAGATAATATCGCTGGTTCTGAAAGAACTTGATAATGGTGTACTTGGGTAGGTCAAGCTGAGCGGAGAGAGTCTGAATTGCTTCTTCATCTGGATATAGGCCTACATCTTGTATGAAACTCTGTAGGATTCCCAGGGCTTCAACAGAAATCTTTGTTCTAGGTCGGGGTTTCTGACGATTTTCATCCTCAGATTCAGCTGGTGATGCAACTGTAGGTTGTCGTGGGGGTAGTCTGGGACCTGGTTGTTGTTGTTGCTGCTGCTGTTGCTGCTGCTGCTGTTGCTGCTGCTGCTGCTGCTGCTGTTGCTGCAATACAAAGCAAACATGTTTAATGTATTTTTGCTGATATTTTTATCACCACAAAAATATAGAGAACAATTTACCAAGGTAGAACTAAAGACTC